GCTGCTGCTGCTGCTGCTGTTGCGTACATTTGGCCATTGCACATTTTTCAATTGGTCTTTGGGAGCTGCGTAGCTGTTGCCCCCGTCCCTGCCCTCGGCTCGGTTGCCTCCGTCACCTACTCAAGTCTAAGGGAAGCCCATCGAGTGGGCGCTCGGCATTCATCTTGTTCTCGTTCTGGTTGCGCTTGTGTTTTTAAAGCTGGGCGTGTGCTTTGTGGGTGGGAGGTGGTGCGAGAGGCGCGGGCGGGCACGTTCTGCTCATTCATGCAAAAATCTCACTCACTCGACGACTCGACTGCAGCCACAAAGTGAATAATGAAAAACTTTTGCAATTTCAAGCGTGTTGCATGGTAATTTTGTAAATTTTCTGCCGCTGCCTCAGACTTTGTGCCGTCTCATATTGTTGTTGTTGTTGTTGCCTGTGTTGCTTGTGTAGCTGCAGCATGTGCAGCGCCTGGTTGCAAGCCTCAGCCTTATGCGGTACTCATGCTTCAGCTATTGCTCCAGCTCCAGCTCCAGCTCCGCGTCTGCTTCTGCTCAGCCTTTTGCTTCATGCGGTTCAGAGCCGTTGCCATTGCCAGACTCGTTCTTCTTCTACTTGTCGTTCCCGTTCCCGTTCCCGTTCCCATTCTCATTCTCTCTCGCTTCCATTGCCGCTGCCAAGTTGACAAGCCTAATTTATCAAAACAAAACACATTTGCACAATTGCAAAGGCAAACGCAGGAACGTTGAGCACAAACGAACGCCAAACACTGCTGCACAGTGGAATGCAATTATGTCCAAGACATAACGAACATATTAATTAACGCATACGATGCGATATAATTAATATATATTCTGAAAAAAACAAGGAGTAATCAATATGAGTAATAGCTTGTTGTAGTTATACTTTTAATATTCAAATAATTATATTGTTGATTGCAATAAGATATATCAAAACAGCTCTTCATTTAAATTAATATATTTTGGGATACATTTTTTATAATTAAAAACTATTTTATTATTATTTTTATTTTTTTTAATGTAGAAAATATTTTTTTATATTTAATTCAAAAACTAATTTTTTTGCATTTATTTAAATTATAATTTAATTTTGCAATTTGATGTTTAGAAAAGTTTAATTTAAATGCGCGTAAATTAAAAAATTTAGAAAACGAATAAATTACAAAAAATAAAATGAAAATAAAGAAAATAAAAAATATAATTAATTTGTATCTGAAATACCTAACATAAGCTGTGGAACTCCATATCAAATTTTTAAAAGAAAAGTGAATAATATTTTTGCGAAATTTTTGATAATTGTATTGTTTTCCGCATCTTAATTTAGAATTCCTTTTAAGAGACTAAATAAAATGTTTGTTCAAAATTGAATCATGTATATAAATATATATATATATATATATAAGCAAAATATTGCACAAAATGTATTTTTATTCAATAATAAATTGTAATATATCTATAATATATATATAATGTAAATTTTATATATTTCCAAGCACTATTGGTGCTATAAATGTATGTATATATGTATTTAGTTTTCCCTTAAAAAGTTCATTCAATGTTTTTCTCTCACTCAATTGTAACATTATTAATAATAATTGTTGTTAAGTTATTTAATCCATAATTGATCCTCACTGAGAGCTCTGCGAAACTTCATAATTGTTCATAATTTCTACAATCACATGAATGTTGTACGTGATGCTGCATTTATTTTATGCTCTTGTTGGCCTTGACTGTTTTTTTTTTATAAGTGAAAAAGTGTAATGCAATTAACTGCACAATGATAACTGCTGCACACGCGCTCAACCTATGATACTTCTATATATTTCTATATATACCCTGTAGACATTTAAAGGAGGCAGAGAACTAGGTCTCGTTGAAGCAGTAAAAGTATATATATAAAATTATATATATAAAACTATAAGCATAGATATTTGACAAGTGATTAAAATACAATTGAATAAGATTGTTGGAGTATGGGAAAATTCCAAATTGATTTATTAGAGAAGAATTTTTAATAAATTAATATAGAGTTTTCCTTGCCAACTTAAAAACTCGTAAAATAAAAAAAAAAAATCTATTCCCTTGAAATGATTCCTTCTCAATAATTATCGATAGTTTGTAAATCGAAAACAAACGGATCCCCCTTGACATTTCGAATTATCGGGACTCTATTGACTTGATTCTCACTATCCGTAACTGACTGTTTAATACAGAACAGAATGTAATAAAAAGAAAGACTAAATTGGAGCTAGTCTATTATTTGAGTAACATTAATATTCGGTACCCTATTTTACAACTTCAAATAATCGATATACAACAGCTTGAGCTTTAGCTGGTTAAATACTCATTGCCTGTGTAATACAGGGTAACTACTAGTCGTTTATATGCGCTGCTCTTGCTTGCTTCATTTCCTTTTTGTTTTTTGTGACAAGTTTGTGTTAGTTTTTGGCCAGCATCCAGCCCAGTGTGCCCAGCGCATGAGGTGGTTAGCAATGCTCCCAGCAGCATTAACAACAGCAGCCAATCCTCCAGTCGCGCCTTTGGCGCCTTCAGCAGCGGCAGCGGCAGCAACAACAACAATATGAAGAAGAGAAACCGTAACCAGAGAGGCGGCAGGCGGTCATTAAGCAAATGGCTGCACTTGCAATTGCAAGGGGCTACCAAACACACACACAAACACACACACACACACACACATACATACATACAAAACTATATATATAGTGGCCATACACATTGACACAAACTGCAGAGGGTTCGTTGGGGCTTTTGCGACGGATGTTTGCTGGAAATTAAATTGTATTATTATGGCGAGACATTCGTTGCTCGCATTGTTGTTGTTGTAGTTGCCTGCCGGTGTGTGTCGCATTAGTTAGCAGCTTCAAAAAAAAATAGAAAAAAAAAAACAACACTGAAAAATACAGCAACGACACAGCGAGTTGGCAGGCTGGCAAAATTGTTGGCATTGCCATTATTTCAATTTTATAACGAGCTCGGCGCCCCGTGCCCTCAGCGCGGACGTTGCTTTAATTGAACGAACGTCGCCCTCGACCAGGTGTTGACTTTGAACCCACCAAAAATACAAAAAATACAAAAACAAAAAAACAAAGAAAAAAGTAACATCACGAAAAATGAGAAAACACACATGCAATGCGCTCATTACATTAGGGAATACAGCAACAACAGTCGAGAGCACACAGACCCAGTCCAGACCCAGCCCAGCCCAGTTCAGTTGCCCCTCGCCTCTCGTTCCGCTCCCTGTTCACCTGGCGCGCCCCTAAAAAGCCGAGACACTCAAATTAAAATGGCATTTGACAAATTTTTGGGGCGCATTTATCAACTTATGTTAATTTTATGCCGCCCAGCGGTTCACACTAGCCCGGCTTCACTTACCTGAGTTGCACCTAGCCTTACCCAGCCCATATCATCAGCTAAGCGAACTGTGTGAAGCTTGTTTATGCAAATTGCTTTCTCATTTGATTTAAGGTTATGATTTTCACACAACTACTATCTATTTATTTCTGTTGTCATTTTTTTTAATTAGTTTTTTCAATTGAGCAAAGTTTTTATGCCGAACTCTAGAGTAATTTGATGATTAAGTTTAGTTTTGCGCTAAGATTTATCATGTGTTTTCCAACGGAACTTGGCGAATGTTAAATATATTATATTTGTATTTTTGCAATATAATCAGAAATTGAATAGATCTGTCATAATAAAAAACCTGTCAGCGATTTATTAATTTACGATAATATAACAAACTAAGTTTACTATCTAGGATTGATGGCCATATAGAAATTTGGCACCTACTGCCTGGCCGATCTGTCTTTTTGTAACTATTTTTTTACTTTTTTATTTATATATCTATCTTCTCGCTAACTCATCTCACATTCTGAGCGATAAATATCGATAGTTTGATACCTCGATAATATTGATACTTTTGATAATATTTAAAAATTGTTTAATATGAGCTTTGCGTTATTTGTTCAAGCATTTCAGAATCCTCTTATGGGTTTC